TTCAGTGCATAAAGTTATGACAATTGTACACAATGCCTAGTGATTTGCTAGACTGTCTTTTGGTCTATTATACCTGAGGGCAAAGGTTACAAACTCCCAAATCCTTCTGGAAATGCTATTTACCCACCTGCCTTTGTGAGGAATGGCTTGGAGAGACTGACTTGTCTTTCTTTGTTATTCATCAAGGATTTGGGAAAAAAACCTCCACAGCTTAAAAAGGGTTCTTTACTAGCACCCCTTCCAAGGAAGCCCAGAGGACACGTCTGGCGGGACTGACAGAAGGCAGTTTTATGGTTTGCAAAGCTCAAAGCAGAATGGAGCAGGGAAACCTCAAGAGTATAAATAATTTGCCTTAAAAGCAAATCGTATCTGAGTGCTGGGTACATCTGGTGCCTGATCCTACCACAACGGAGGACGAAGGAAGTCATTGCCGTTTCCATTTAGGACTTGACTCTTCTTCTGAACCAATATTAGCCAGAAATAACTATCGATAGCAAGGGGATTCCACTGGATTTTTGACTCTCTTTCACATCAGATGCAGTTTTCCTTGACTCTCTCCAGGAAATATTGGATCTAGTGACTGATGCTAATCTCTTCATTCGATGAGGATGAAATCGTGCGGTTCTGAGTCCTGGCCCTGACAGCCAAGCAATGTGTGTGTTTTGGGGAGAGGGCTGCTTGACAGCATCTGAGAATCTCTGTCCATCAAGGTTTTAAAAAATAATTGACAGCCAGTAGTAATGCTGCATTTATAAGGCTTCGTTTGATCCTAAGCTCATGGATCTGCCCTCTGATACTTATAACGGCCTTTTATTTACACCTTTTCATCACTGCGACACTCCCTGCCTGAGGTTTATTGCCATTATAAATTTCCGCTCCCTGTATTTGAAATAATACAGATAAGCAAGAATGAGGTGATGGATGCAGGGGATAAAAGGCCTATTTTGCTGCCTCAGTAGACAGGCCAGAAAGATGTGCCATTTTAACAGCCCGCACTCCATCGTGCTGCTTAGAAGGCATGAGCCACCAAAGAGCAATGCGGTGAACAATACAATGAACTTCTCCTGCCACCAATAAAACTGTCTCATGAGGGAGACTAATGTTTTTCTGAAAGGGCCAACAACTACTGAATTACCAATCTATTCCAGCACTAAAATTAATCACTGGTGCTAAAGGAGCTAAGAATACATTTGGTCTCCTCTTTGCCTTTGCCTGGGATTTCTAGAGAAATAATGGTTTCTTTGGGGGCAAAGCCCTCCCCCACTCCGTGTGCATAAAGTGTGCAGGAAAGCACATCAGAGGAGTGAAAAAGAAGTCGGTGCAAAGCTCTCATTAGCTTCAGTGGTATAGGATCAGGCTAGCAGGGAAGTGGAAAGGTGGACAATATGTTGGATGAATGGCAAGAAGAGGTCCCTCCCAAAATCTCTTGTTTTTGGTAAATGATCGGGCTGCTCTGAAAAGGCTGTATGGATGACTGCCTGGCAGAAGACAGGTGGGGGTCTCGCCGAAGGCTCTGTGCCTTTCTGCAGCAGAAATCACCTTGTGATAAAGATCCTTTGTATGCCTTGCAAATATTACAGTGAGAGCTAACACATATCACCGGGATCACTTATTAATACTTTACAATGTAGGCAAAGCTACATAGGCTAGGGACAGGCATTGCCTAAACCAGTTTGACCTAAATCAGTTAAGTCTAATACTACATTCAACCAGGTTTATCTCAAACCAGTTTCAGCCATTTTCAAACTAGCTTATGTGCACTGAACATCTGTTCTGTTACAGCTGTAAACCAGTTTCTGATCACTTAAACCGGTTTACGTGTAATGTCTGTCCCAAGCCATAAAAATCACAGCACCCACACGACAGTGCAGCCATTGCTGGAGTGCAGCATGGCAGCTGTTCAACAGGGCATGGCAACACAGCACAGAGGTTGAATGTGAAGACTTTTTTTCCCAGTTAAAACTGTACAGGGATAAGGTAAATGAGCTTATGTTGATTTGAGCCATGGCGTCCCTACTCTTTGGAAACGTGCTGTGGGGTCAGGACTTTTAAACAGGACCAATATTAGAAGAGGAGGCATCTCCAGTGCAGTCTCCAGAACAAAGGGTCTCTATTAAGATTGGATAAAAGGAAGCAAATTATGGATGCTTTTCTCTACCAAACTCTATCTATATAACACTTCTGGCTCTTCACCCCTCACCATGTAAGTCCAGTCTCCCTTGCCCAACACACTCCTCCAATCCTTGAAGTACCTTTTCCAATCATGTAAGTATTGTTATTACAGATGGACGTGAGCAACAATGTGGGTCTGATCCCAGACTTTCCAAACCTCAGAGGTTCTCTTTTCCGTGCTCTGGTTTGGTTCATCACAGCCACAGCGGTCAGCTACAGAGTTTCATCCGCTCTTCCTTCCATTTCAGGGATACTCAGCGTTAGTACCTGGCTACGGACCAGTCCCAGCTCTCAATTAGATGAGCTCTGCAAGAAGTGACGTGCCATTGGAGCCCTGCTCTGGGCTAACCTCACAGGAGAGAGTGGTTTGCTCTGACAATAGGTACTAGACAAGGGCATCGCCCTCTAATAACACCTACTCATGGCACACAGAATATGTCTTAGTTTACAGCAATAATAAAAAAAAAAATCCTATGCAGCTTTATGTCTTGAAGATAAGTTGGAAAAAACAAACCCTAAATTTATTTAATCGTGTTGGTGAATCAGGATTTCAGTTAGAGGCCATGTGTGAGAGGCCAATTAAATATTTTGTCAGTTCCCTCTAATTGTATGTTCCTGCAGCTTACTTAGTAATTACACTCAATGGGTCTAAATGAAATCAGCGTATTACCTGCTCACTGATGAGCAATAATTGTATTTTGCATATGGGGTTTTTTTCTTAATGTTTCTGAAATATGCCCTGCAGACTGAATTTGCCATGCGTTCAGAGCCTGAGCTAAACCCACTTCAAGGACAGTCATGGGTGGGAAATTAATACAAGCAATCTAGCTCTGCTCCCTCTTCTCAGGAAAATTTCCCTCTGTCCCTATATCTTACTCAAAACACAAAAACCCACCCCACACAAACGCTTTCCTGCCAAACACGTAAATAGGGGAACTTTCCAAGCCAATAAACCTTCACTTAGAGATGAGCTGCTAGAGTGTCTTCAGTAAATTAGCACAATCTGCTCCAAGCAGGTTCCTCAGCTGAACCAGAATACAAAACCTAGGACTGCTTTGTGGCATAGGCGCCAGGGGCAGGTAATTATTTTGGGCAGAGGGCCGCTTACTGAGTTTCGGCAAGCCCACACTGTTCAACATCTTCATCAGTGACTTGGACGAGGGGGTAAAAAGCACCCTGTTCAAATTTGCTGATGACACTAAGATGTGGGGGGATGTGGGCACACTAGAAGGAAGGAACAGACTGCAATCGGACCTAGACAGGTTACAAGGGTGGGCGGATAAGAATAGGATGGGATTCAAAACAAGTGCAAGGTTGTCCTCTCCACAACAGAAGGCTGAGGGGGGATCTAGTGGCCTGTTACAAACTAGTCAGGGGGGACCAGCAGGCATTGGGGGAGTCCCTGTTCCCCCGAGCACTGCCAGGAGTGACCAGGAATAACAGTCACAAGTTGGCAGAGGGTAGGTTCAGATTAGACATCAGGAGGTGCTACTTCACGGTCAGGGCGGCTAGGATCTGGAACCAACTTCCAAGAGAAGTGGTGCTGGCTCCTACCCTGGGGGTCTTTAAGACAAGGCTAGACAATCACCTTGCTGGGGTCGTTTGACCCCAGTACTCTTTCCTGCCATGGCAGGGGGTCAGACTCAATGATCTGCTCAGGTCCCTTCCGACCCTAGAAACTATGAAACTATCAAGGGCCGCATGACAGGCAGCGCAGGGCAAATTAATATTAATTTTCTAAATTTTGTAGGGGCCCTGCGGGCCGGATAGAATGGCCTGGCAGGCCACATCCAGCCCCTGGGCCACATTTTGCCCACCCCTGGAACCAGTGCAAATCCCCACAACTAAGACAGCATGGCAGAGACTTGCCAGAACAACATCCTAATCTCACACTTTGTACAGACATTTTGCACACAGAGATGGACATTGAAATCACTTGCACAGACTCCACATGTGGGTTTCATTAAATGCTTTTCATTTACCTCCTCGTGGGTTGTGACAGCACTCTCTGCTCAGTTAGCACCAGAGCCTGGATACTGCAGCAAGTCTCTTATATTGTGCCACTCCTGCTATTCAGAACAGGATCTCTGTGTCTCTCTCACTTCATCTTAAAATCTCCTTTAATATTAGAATATTTTTTCCCTTTGCTCCCACTTTTTTCTAGTTTCTCTCCCTCTCCACTGTAACTAAATAACTGTATCACTAAGCTTGCTCAGAGGGCTTGGAATTTGGATCGTGTGAAAGAGGCTGCACAAAATTGAAGCCAAACTTGGGTATCTAAACGTAGGCCTCCCCAGAAGCAGCCCATATGTCAGAGACGTTGGATAGATGCAGCTCCCCTTAGGCTATTGGCCACATGGATTGTTGTGAGACTGTCAGTGCGTGTTGCCAACAACTGCCGAAGTGCAGACTCATTTCTAATGGGTAAGTATATAAGTACACAGTTCCCCACACCCACCAACCCCTGCCCCCAGTCAGTGCAGAGTGGAAGTCACTGCAATACAAAGCTGTAGGAGCCCACCCAAGGATGACAATGTTACAGGGCAGCATGAGCTAAACGTTGGCAAGAGCATTTGCTGGCACCTGCACAAACAATCCTCCAGTGGACTCCCAGCGAGAAGGAAAGAGCCAGCCTGCCAGCAGAAAAGCAACGCACTAGAGAGCAAGGGAGGGGGACCTTCCGCGCTCAAATGGTTTATAATTACATCAAAAATAAAGGCGGAAGACAGCAAAATCCCTGCAAAAGAGAACCCTCACTGCAAAAGATTAAGCAGGGAATGAATGGTGATCGCACAGAAGCAAACAGATTCATTGGAGAAGATACTTACTTGGCCTGCACTTGTACCACACGATGAGGTACTTGCCGGTTCTGGGGCACGGGTCTATACCAAACAGTCGGCTATTGACAAGAAACTGGCAGCTCCGTCTGTCCTGGCACTCATCCAGGATTTTCTACATAGGCAGGTGCATATGCACACACACACACACACACACACACACACACACACACACACACACACACACACACACACACACACATACAGAGAGAAACAAAAAAAATAGAAAAACAGGAGCACTTTAGTATGGATAAAAGAGCGTATCAAATGGAGACAAGCTTTAGAACAGCAGTGGGATCTTGGCTTTGCTGAGGCAGTCTAGGGAACTTGCATGGAGGGGTCCCAAATGCTTAGTATCCTGGAGGCTAAGAACTCTTCCCAGCATTGTTGGGTACATACACAATAGCCCTTCCCATAAACTAGCCCCATTAAAAAACCAGAATGCAGGCAGTGTAGCACCTTGGAAACTAACTGGTTCAGAGCAACATATGCCTTCCTATTATTCATAGCATCTGATGGGCTAGGGACAGACATTCAAAAAGTCTGAGGCCGAACTGATTCAATCTAGTCTAAACTGGCTAGGCTGAACCGGTTTGTAACTGTTCAGACATCCCCTCTGGATTAAGGTAATTTAGGCACATTCCTGTAGTGGCTCAAGCTAGGCTAGAAGCTGTGGGGTGCTAGAGCAGCCCTCCCTTCCCTTCCACAGTGCTGACCTGAGGGGACATGGCCAGGCCTCAGCAGGACGCTCTGATTAGGGAGGGGTTCCCCCACTCCTGACCAGCCCAGCAGGGAATTCATAACAATGTGCATCACCCCTAACTCAGTGTTTATCACCTCATCAGAAAACAAAGCCTCTCTCCATTAGTTCAAGCTCTTCTTAAGCAGCTTTTCCAAGGAAGGAACTGGTCTCCCACAGCACGGACCGTAGCCAACATGTGGTCTGCTAGGGGAAGCCAGGAAGATTCCTGCAGACTCTGCCAGAGCTGCAACCAGGGAGCTGAGGGGAGGGGAGGGGCCAGCCCTGCTGTGAAGCAGAGTCCCGGCCAGCCCAGAGAGCATGATGGGATGCTGGGGGAGTCTGATTTAACTTAAACCAGCAATGGGTCTGGGACAGACATTGCATAAACCAGTTAGACCCAAATCTGTTAAGCCTGATACACTACATTCAACCAGGTTTATCTCAAACTGGTTTCAGCAATTTTAAAACTGGTTTATGTGCACTGAACATCTGTTCCATTACAGGTTTAAACCAGTTTCTGATCACTTAAACTGATTTATATGTAATGCCTGTCCCTAGCCATGAAGTTAGGTTGTCAGCTCCTGAGGTACCTGACTTCAGACCAACACAGCTAACTATCTCCCTCCATTTACAAGAGATTTTGTACCCAATTAACTTTAGACATTTAAAAACAAGGCTTCAGTTAAAACAGCACAAGTCTGCATATAAACAAGACCTTAGGGTAGGCTGCTTTAGGAGAGTGGACTGGAGTTTACACAGTGAATACCAGACCATTAAAACATATATGGCCAAATTCTGATCACACCACCATTATGGTTGTTGCTGTTGATTTGTTCACGAGCTCTGGATCCCCCACCCCTTTGCTTTTAAAGGAGGTCTTTTCTTGATTAGATACGAAATTTTGGTCATTCTAATAATGAGCAGATATAGCAGGAACAGAGAGATACAGCTAACTTAAGTTTAGCTTGTTTCTCCCTCTCCCCGGCTGGTTTTCTTTTAGCTGAACTCATCCAGGGCTTGCGAGTCTGATGAATTCTCTCCCCTCGAGTACTTTTGGCATTGCCTGCTTATGCAGTCCTCTTCCCCCAGCACCCGCCTCACACCTCCCCATCCACAACCTACTTATATAACTCCATCTTCAAATCCACAGGGGCAAGACATTCTGTCTCCTGTTAGAAAATAGCTTCATTAAGAAAGATTAATGATTTTTAGCCCTATGATCCTTTACAGCTCAAGGGGGGAGCAGTATTAAGTGGGGCAGTAATTAAGTTTTAAATTCGGCTGGATGACTTGGGTGGTATTTACCTACCCCTGCAGAGCCCCTAAAGCTTTAAAATTACCATAATGTTTGCCTGACACACATGAACCTGTCAGAGCATTTTGACTGAGACCACAGAGTGAGGTAATTCATTGGCCTTGTTAAGTCCCTGCTTTACGGCATGCTGAATTCCCTTCCCAACCCGATTAATTTTTGCTTGCAAGGAGACTTCAGAAAATTCAGAGTCTCAAAAGTTCTCCCAGGCTCCCTTGCAGACACTCTCTCTTTATTCTTCTCCCTGCCCCTTTCTTTCATGCTGACCTTTTCTCTCTCCCCACCAATAATCCTGCTACTGTACCATACATGCAGAACCTTTCTTTGCTTTCGGACATACTTTCCCCGTGCCACAGGGACCCTCCATCTACTCTCAAACCTTGATTGCATGTTCCATAAGTCTTCCCTAGCCTACACCTCTTATTATTAGGGAAGATGGGCATAGATATCGGCAGGAGCAGCAGAAGCAGCGGTTCTTGTTTAGATGACTTAACCATTTCCATTTCAAACCCCCTCGTTTTCGGTCATTCAGCACTTCCTGCAGCCTGCACCTTTGGGCTGACATTTGCAAGAGTTTGTCTCCGTGGGAAGTGGCATTTTATTTTTGAGCTTAAACAAAGATAATTCATCCATTTTGTGAGCAAAGCAAATGAAGAACACATGCTGTGCTTTGCTGGTTATAAAACTTAACACAATCCTTGTGACCTTTACAGTGTTAGCTGATGGAAAGGCACGAAAACAGCCTTTAGCAGAAAGAGGTTCTTGGAAGTTTCTACACACAGTTAGTTATAATTTGACTGAGGTATGAACATTACATACCCCACGCAGATCCAGCCCTCTGGATCCAGCCTCTTTTCATATAGCTCAGAAAGCACATTGGTAAGAAGGATAGGACGCTACTCACCCAATGCATGATAATAGTTTCCTACAGAGTGCAGTGATGTGTGAGAAAATAAGGGGAAGTCTCCAAACCCAAACACCAGTTCATTTTGTAAGGTGCACAGAAAATTATGTAAGTGTGCCCCCTCCCTGAGCCCTGGCTCATTTAAAAGGTTCGGCTCCAATTGGACCGTTAATTACTAACCTACATCAAGAATACGGGAGTGAAGAGAAGACCCTCAAAAAGTATTCTTGCCTCTGAGAAAAAAGATTTCTTCCCTCAGGAAGGCAGAGTCCAGTTCTTGGTGAGCATCCACATTCATTCCCATCTGAGTGGTATTGTCAAAAGTCTTTAATTGGTCTAACTGCTCCAAATGAACCGCTCTTTCACTGGAAGTTATCACTGAGCTCCTGAATAAAGCATATAAAACATCTGCCTGTCCTACTGAGCAGTATGCCTCCAGACTCACCTCTACATGCCATGCACATCATATAAAAACTGCCAAAAACTTAGGTTTTTCCAATCTAAGTGATCATCTGACAAAACTAACACCTTGTGTGACTTCATTAGCATGCAGCCAGTTTGCTCATTTGGTAATACACCTCTGAGCTCAAGTTGTAGCCACAATGCTGTAAACCACAGACAAAGAAGTTTAGCAAGAAAAGCTTCCTGTTGATTCTCTCATTTTACATCCTCCTTCATTTTTTCCCAGGTACTGTAAAGCTGAAGAGATGGAAAAGTATGACAAAAATACAAGAAAAGTCCTTGACCAGTCTGGACCTGTGTTAAGACCTGACACATAGTATTAGCCATAACTGACACACAATCGACTGATTACATCAGCATCATCTGGTGGGCCCTCTGCTAGTACAAAATAAAGTCACATTGTATTATAAAAACCATGCTAGCAGAGGAAGAAGGGAAAGAATTCCTGTCTGGCTCAAAACAGGGGGAAGACACATTAATTGTCTTGTGCAATTTTATAATTGGGTTCCAGTGGTAAATCAAGCCAGAGGGCTGACAGCCAGAGCCCAGGAGGGAAGTCATGGCAGTTTAAATCCATTCCATTCTCTGCACCCTAATCAAGTTGAGAAGCCCTGAGATTTAGGAAAGATAAAGTAAGCAAAAAAAAGGTAAATTTAACAAAAACAAACACTAGTTGAACCTCTGTGATTTATGCCCCTGATTAATCTCCCTTCAGTGACCTGGGTCTTAAAAGCAAGAGAGGCCTCAAGATCAAAATCAGGTCTTTCCTGTGGAAATGCAGTAGGAACACAGCTGATAAGCTTTGTGATACTTGCTAGTGGGGTTTGGATATTATGAGGAAGATATGTTTAACAAGCAAAACTAGACTGGAGCTCTGCAAAGGAGATGTTTTAAAACCTTGCCCCCAAAACACACACACACTTTTCCCCTCTTCCAGGTACTCATTAGGAATTGCATGCTCTATATATCATTCATTTAAAGTACTCCAAACAGTGTTAGCACATGAAGGCAAGGCTCTGTCTATTTGGATCAAGGGTGAAATCCTGGCCCCAGAGGCAGTGATCAATTGCAAACCTTCCATTGACTTTAACAAAGCCAAAATTTCACCCAGGGCAGCTCTGCAAACAGCATCAGTCATGAAAAGGACACAAAGATGACCTAGGACACTTCAGAAGACAAATCTAGGAACAAAATTCATAAGCTAGGGACAGAAGTTACACATAAACTGGTTTAAACCTGTAACAGAACAGAAGTTGAGTGCACATAAACCAGTTTCAAAATGGCTGAAACTGGTTAAAGATAAACCTGGTTGAATGTAGTATCAGACTTGACTGATACGGATCAAACCAGTTTATGAAACTTCTGTCCCAGACCCCTTCCTGGTTAAGTAAAATCACAGTCCCCCAACATCCCAGCATACTCTCCAGACCTGAGCTGGGCTGTGCTGTCTGCTCCAGAGAGCAGGGTTGGCCCTACCCCTCTGCTCCCAAGCTGGAGCAATGAGGGCTGGCTGATGGGGGGCAGCCCGGCTGGAGATGCAGCCCAGTCTGGTGGGGGGAGACTGGGGCCAGAGATGGGGG